TTCGAGGAATATCCTCGTCAGTTTGTTCAGCTCCTCGTCCCAGAATTCTACATCCTTTAAGCGTAGGCTTCGGATGATCATGCTCCACATTATTCCAATCTTTAGCCTGTAATTGTGATGGGACCGTAAATTGAGTATTATCCCAGCATATGACTTCTTTCTGAACAAGTTCTGTTGGAGCGTCCCATTAGAGCGAATCACTTCAACGTCCAGGAACCGTAACCTCTCACCTTCCTCTACTTCCATCGTAAATTGAATTTTGCCATCAATTTGATTCGCAAACTTCAGAAACTCTTCCAGTTTTTCTCTTCCATATGACCAAAGTGCAAAGTAATCATCCAGGTACCGCATGAGCACTGCCGGTTATAGCGGTACCATCTTGAAGCTCTCTTCTATTATGTTCATGTATACGTTGGCCAAAAGAGATCCAAAGTTATTTGTATATACATTGATTCTACATCGAATCTTACTAATAAGTCCGTTTCTTCCAGTGCCATTTTTTTGATTTTTTCAGAAAACACATATGAATGTTTCACCGTGTTTGATAACCTCTCATTTAATTTCTTGAGTTTCAAGCATATAAACTTTGCAAATTTGTGTGTTGCTCAATACTTGTTGTTGACTATCCGCCTTAGTGGCTCGCCTTCTTTGTGTATCTTCTCTAATTCGTAGGCTGTTGGTGGTCGTGCATCGTTTCTTACGATTGAATTTCTTGTCCATGCGTCAATTTCCCCATTCCTATGCATATCTTTCAGCATGCCACTTAAGATTCCATTGATCTTCATAGTTGAGTCCTTGTTTAGTATACGATATGTTGTCCTGTCTCGTAGGATACGTTCCATCTTCTCGGTATATTGTTTTTTGTCTATTATCACTGTAGCTCCTCCTCTGTCTGCCTGAAGGACTAATTGTCCATTCGTTTCCGGGGTTTTGCGTATCCCGGCAAATATGTTTCTGTGTGTAGGCTCTTGATGGATCAAGATCTTTGGAATTAGTTCCATCTCTATTTCCCGTTTTGTCTTCTCACGGAACTTGTCGGCGATATTAATAATCTCCACCAGGATGTCTCCTAGAAGGCTTCTGTGATGTTGAATTAAAAGATTGAGTCCTTTTTCCAGGAACGTGGTTGTTTCGGGATTGGGAGGAATTGATGATAATTTTAGTACTTTCTTCCTATCCTCATGCTGATCTGTAGGTGTTGTGACCTCGAAAGTCATTTCAAATGGGCGTACTGGCTTTAACTTAGGCTGTATTATAATCCCAAACTTACGCAATTTATCGTCATGCCGTTTTGTTATTAAGTCAGAAATCATACGGGATTTTCTGTCGGTCATGCTCTGGAGTTTTGCAAAATCTTCCAAAGGTAGGGCACCATGTGACAATTTTGATTGAAAGAGGGCGCTGAGACTAGGAAAAGGTTTGAGAACCACTGGCCTAAGCAAACTCGGGGAAAACAAGAATAGAGCAAGATCAGCAAAAAGGAGACGCCTGGATCAAGGATCTACAACTAACCGGAGGAAAAGGGATCGCGATGAAGAAAGTGGTGGGAAGGGGTTTTCGGCAATAAAGCGAAGACGTTGTCAGTGCGTGATGTCCATTTCGAATAAACAATTACAACTTTGGGGGCCTGGCAGTCAAGGATCTGGACAGACGAACAAACAAACCGTCACGGAAATTCGACGTACTAGAAATCCACTTGAGATTCCGCATGCGACCAGAGATAGGCGTCCACAGTTTGCTCAGATAACATGGGTTTAATGAAGTAGAGGACCTGTGAAGGGAAGGGCTGATACCTGCAAGCATAGCAATCAGAGCTCTGGCGCTCTGCTCAGAGAAGTGGCAGTGTACGTGCTTCTATGGCCTTGAGCAATAGCGCCTGGAATGAAATGCTCACTGAGACTGGAACCGAGTGAAATCGGTCAACCAGAAAGAGAAGGAACGGATCTAAGAGACAATGAAGGGATCCGGATTGGAGGCCCGAGTCGGATAAGCCGATCGAAAGAGAGGGGTAAGGGTAAATAGCAAGTGTGATGAGGCCACACTCGATTTGCCACAAAAGGGCACACATTTTGACGAGTGGAATGTAAACAAATCAAAGTTTGTGATAGGGCAGTAGTGAGATAAGAGGGTAAAGAGTAGATAGATGGGCCAGGACAGAAAGAGGAGGGATATTATAACCGTTTTCGGCAGAACGTTTGTCGAAGGATTGACTTCACTTGTCTCCTTGACGAGTTCGTAGCTTGCTGCGGCGAATGACAAAACTCACTCATGATGCCGGTGAAACGTTTGAGAATGTACTAAGTATACTGTCTGATGCTGGGAATCATGACAACTACTATGACAGACGACTTCGAACTAGGTACGTTTAACTAAGTCACCTTGGCAACAAGACCAAGTTGCGACAACGAAATCAACCCACTTCTATAAATCGAAAGTAGACTGCGACCACACCAGAGGCCCCAACATCATGGCCTTCATCTCTTCCTCTATTTAATTTCGCGCTGAAAGGCTCATTTTATGTAACGTTAAGAGTATAATTTTCCAAGAACTTTCACTTGTCTCCAAGACTAGCGGCTAGTGCCTAATTAATCTCTTTACGAAATCAAATTTTCATTGATAAAAGCCTCATTAATATCTTGCTATCTATCCCCTTATGCTTTTATAAATTATAGTGCCTAAGATCAAATGGGCACAATGTCTTGCATGCTTGTTCATAATGTTTATCCTAATTTAATAACACCCTCATTATTTTATTTTATTTTATTTTATAGGGTTTTAAGGATGAAGAATACAGGAACCGTCGAAATTGGTTCGCCCAACTGGCATTTTCTTATAAACAGTAAATATCTAGCTTCAATTAACATCTGTTTTATATAAAACAAATCTTTTTTAATAGGCAATTTTGGCCTTAGTCTGTTCCTAAATTAATATCTCCTATGGTAGGGAGCTTAGGAATTAAAGTACAACTACATGAAATATACTACCAATATTCACAAGCATATCCATATTAATGTTGGAGTGCCTTTTATTTGGTTTGAAGAGGTGAGTGGAAGGGATTAGTAAGTTGGTTCGACCAGAAGCTGTATGGGGATTACTTTGGGGCTGTGACTGTAGATCTGTGCGGATAGACCATCGGCGCACC